TATTTATTACATGGGGAAAGTTTAGTTTAAATGTGTTGTAAAACTATTACTGTTACTTTATCTACATAAGATCAAATATTTTGGTATGAAAAGCTGCATTTTTTATTTAACCAAGTATCCTGTATCATAACTACATGTCTGACAATTGTAACAAACCAAACCGCATGAAAATCGGTTGAGAATTCAGCGAGTAATGATGATTTTAATCATAAATAATCTCCTGCCTCAATAGACATACACGCATTAGGCAGCGCGGCTCCACCTGGGCAAGATGGCGGCCGCGATGACGTATCGCTCCAATGAGGAGCACCGTTGAATGCGGCATCTACGTATATATATCTATGGCGCCTCCCAGTACTACCAGAGATATTCTGATACTACGTACACATTGGTTAACATGTATCATTTCCGGAGTGACGGCAGACTGTCTCCTCTCTGCCCTCCTGCGGCCACAGACGCACCTGCAGCTTCTTCTCTGCTGAAGCTGTTTATTTGCTCCTTTCCTGTGTTCAGTTCTTACACTATTTATCATGACTTCATTGAAGTTCACCTTAATGTGTTCATCAGTGACTGAGCATCATAGTCAGAACATGCTAGAGCACTGATGAGTGAATGTGGACAGCATTAGAGTAAGAAAAAAATCACAGGCTGGCATAAGATCTTTTAATGATGTGTGTAGGCTATATGCCTCTAGAAGCTCATTTCTCTTTTACCTTTGGCACAGGTTAGCAATGCCAACTTATGGGGTCCCGTTGGGTGTAGCTCTACCATTTCATTCACTCCATTCTTTGCCAAGTGTGGGAGGTCGAACTAGAGGTTTAGTATGTAAGATTTATTTACTCCTAAACTCTGTCTGCATACCTCTGACAATCCACCAAATCTGGAGCAGGGATCTTAGCTGTTCTGTGGATGACATTTGCTGGTTAACAGCCTGGAACAATTTAGATGCTATTTCCAAAAATACTAACCACAAGCTTATACACTTTAAATTTCTGCATAGGATGTATCTTACTCCCAGAAAGCTTCATCTGATGAGCCTTATATCCTCTCCTATCTGTGAGCTCTGCCCTAATGGTGACACAGGGTCTTTTCTTCACATGTATTGGCATTGACCAGAGGTAGTATGTTTTTGGAAAATGGTATCTGTAACCATAACTGATCTACTTAATGTTCAAGCGCCATGTTGTCCAAAGCTGCTCCTATTGAATGATACCTCCTCTTTAGATCTCATGTCTCATCAAAAGCTTGCACTTTTTGTTGGCCTTACAGCAGCAAAAAAAAAAAAAAAAAAAAAAAAAAGAAGAAGAAAAAAAAGCAGTTCGCTGGCAGCCTCCTCATTCTCTCTCCTGGAATCATTGATTACAGTCCCTGTTGGATATAATGTATATGGAGATGTCAGTAGGAAAAATGCATGATGCCAAACAGTCAACCACTGCATGGTGCCTGGGCTTCCCTGAAAGACTTTCTGTGCACATTCAGTGGGTCATAGTCCTTAAACCCAGCTATTTTTTCATCTTTCATTATGTGTGTTCATGTAATTTATGTATTATTATTATTATTTTCCTCTTAATCAATTTAATTTCAGGGTCAGTTGATTTACTATGGCCATTTGATTTAGACTGGTTGCTGCCAGGGATGGGGTGTGGGGGGGATTGCTGTGTATCATTGTGAGTGTTGTTTGTTATATATGTTAAAACAACAATAAAAAATTGATAACAAAAAAGAAAAACTGAAAGGGCAGAAGCCATCCAGGGTTTAGAACAAAAATAAATAAATACATTTTTAAAAAAGAAGATAAGGTTTGCAACTTTGTACATATTGTATACTTTTATGGTTCATTTATTATAAATGTTCGTTTATTTGTGTTGTATTCTCAATAACTCTAGTGCATTTTTTATAATACATATAATAGATAGAAAATATAATGTTAAAAATAGAATTAAATTACTATATTTGTGTGTGTAACTCTGTGTGTGTGTGTGTGTGTGTGTGTGTGTGTGTTTGTGTGCCTGTGTGTGTCTGTATTTGGGGGGTTGGGAGTGTTGTCTAAGGCACTGGATGTACTAGGTCAAGTACTGAGTCCAGTCAAAGTAAAATTACAGAAAAAAAAACTTGATAAGGTCCAAATACACACACAAAACAACTTTGTTACAATAGAGGAAGTGTGATTTGTTATTCCAGTCCTGGTTATGGCTCTACGTTCTGTTGTTCTCATCATTGCTGTGGTGTAACCGCAGTGTCCAGTCGGTATCTTACTCATACACACACACACACGCACAGGCACGTGCGCGCACACACACACACACACACACACACACACACACACACACACACACACACACAAAGATATATTAACCTATTTTGTCCTAAACATTAGTTGTGTTACTTTAAGCAGTATAGCAGTAGTGGTAGTAGTAGTACCAGATACTAAAACCACTGTAGGATTTTAGCCAATGACAAACTTTGATGTTGTCCAGATCCGCAGGCTACACCTTTCTCTGTCCTCCTCAGCACCCAACAGACAGCCTGGCAGGCGGGCTGGCAGCCAGGCAGAATGGCAGTAGGCTGGCAGGCTTAGCCCGGGGCACTATCTCCTGCAGAGCCAACTCTGACCAGCTGGTCCAGACTAACACCACAGAGTGAGCATGTACCAGCGTATCAGTGGGGACATAGATGTTAGCCGTGGTCCAGACACCCTCACACCTAGGGCCTGACACCTATAGCACTAAAGCCACACTGATGGGATTTAGGTGAGAAGACTCTGTCTAGTCTACGACTTAACAGGTCATCACATTTCTCCTGGCCGTACCCTGTCACCATCCCAAATTTCTTTCCCGAGACTGCACGATGGACCCCTGTTCGCTCTCACTTGCTGATGCCAGATATAAGTGCCTGATCTGCAGTCCAGTCTGGTCCAATCTACCGTGACGGTTTCGGTCCAGCACAGCCCCAAGCGGCTGGGAAAAATCTGGTAGACCTTCTTCTTCCAGCACTATTCAGCTAGTTAGTTAGCTTAGCACTGTTTGGTCTACACAGCCACAGCTTTAGATAGAGAAGCACACACAGGAAGTAAGGGGTAAAAAGTGTACAGCATCGAAATAATCTAACCTGGGAATATTTGTTTTCAAGCCAATTACCATCAGGCACAAAGAACCACACCTCACACGGTTAATTAACTGTATCAGTCAGTCTAGAAAAACAGTTTTCAAAGTAAAACTTCCAAGTAAATGTGAAAAGGCCTCAAATCCTCCATCTATAATTCAGTTTCCCCTTGATACACCTTGACTGAACTGATATCGTTTGAGGCCCCCCCCTCCCATTACACACACCTCCCAACCATTTCCACGTCTGACAGTTAAAAGGCCTACACACAGAGAGAAAGAGCAGGCAGCTCATTGTGCGTTTTAAAGCGCTAACTAGGCCACTTAGCACCCCGTGACGCTGATCTGATCCCCGAGGCACTGAACTTGGCAGCGGGCCCTCCTCCTTTCGCTCCTTCCTTTCCCCTCGCCATGGGAACCAGGCCATCCTTAATGACGCAGGAGTGCTCCGCCGGATCCCACAATGCAAAGGGGGCTGACATCTGTCTTGCTAAGTGGTGCACTCTCTTGTGCACCTTGTTTGTTCAATCAACAACCCCCCCCACCCCCTCTCCCCACCCTTCCTCCACTATGCCCATTTTCTTTTTTATCTCCCCAAAAAAGAGAAAAGATTGGAAGAGGAGCGGTACAGAGTTTGGAGAGAATAGACAGTGTAAGATAGTGAGATCATGACTATCCCTTCACCAGCATCATCACACACACAGCAGTGCAGATTATTATAGATAGTGGTGGTATAATGACAGAGATGGATGATTACACAGAGTGCAGGTTATAGCTATAAAGTAATCAGATTGAGGCATTTTACAAACAACCTTCTTCACTGTGAGGAATGAGAGTCGAGAAAGCAGAATTTGATCACTGTCAGCGCGGCTGTACGAGCCTCCCAACCTCTCCACCTTGTGCGTATTTTGAAAAAAACAGTGCCTGATTAAAAGTGGCCCCTAATTCCTCATGGTTAAGACCTGGGCAAATATTTGTCCCATCAATCTTGGAAAATATAGCCATCAACCCAAGATGTTAATCACATGCTAATGGAATCCAAGGGACTCAATGCACCCCCGTAGTGCAATGAACGCTTTCACTTTTTCAGAAAGCCCACGTGAATGCAAATGGCCATCTAAACAGTCATTTTGACAGCATGCCAAGGCATCGTAAAGAGCCCCCTTCTTTATGCTCCTCTGGGAATGTATGTAAGGATGTGTGGGATGAGTTCACTTTACCAGGCCCAGGTGCCAGGATATAAATGAATAATAGGTTTTATGGGCCCTAACTGAAAAAAAAGCACATACGCACATAATCACACATGCCCACTCGCTCAAGTGCATCTGTGGTGAATGATGTTCAAATTCCCACAACTACACTGAAAAGAGATTGGGCATGAGAATAGGTGGTTCCTATACATAATTCAGGGGTCCATGCTGAAACAATTATGTTTGCTTACTGCTAAGTACCCGCGCTCAATAGCTCGTTTGCTCTCTAGTTTGGTGCTTTCAGATGTAAGTGCTATGTGCTAAAAGTCGGTGGAACACAGCTTTTTAATAAAATATAGGGAGCTGACACTTGAGCACTTGAATGCGAGAGTGGGTGGAAAAAAAACAACAAATGCTCTTCATGTTTTTACTTGAGCTTTGCATGCAAACTAAATTGCACTTGTAAATCTAACTAGTGTTGGCAGAAAACTAATTAGCAATGCCAGGCAAAAGGAATGTGTACAAAAAGGACATTTTAATGACAATATTACAGAGCACAATATTTCAGTTTAGATTAATCTAAACACATTTTTTTTAACTCTATAACACAAGTCCAGTGTGGACAACTTCTCTGCTGCAGCAGAAAATTGCATGACCAAAATATAGGTCATTTTGTCATCAATCAGTGGTGGAATAAACCACCAGAATCTTTAATCTGAATAACACATTCAGGCTCATCAACAAACACAGATACACACACAAACATGTACTTTACAAGTGTCTATATAATTATCAGACAAGTTATGAAAAATAATGTCCATATATTGGCAGTGATTTGATGGAGAATAAAGGCTCCAGTCCAAATGAAAATCTTTACCAGCCTCAAAGGGTGTAGGTTTTGTTTCAACACTAGGGGGAACACATATGAAACAGGGCTTTTGGAGTATCTAACATGTAATTTCCTGAGTTCTGGTAAAGGAATTTTTGGTGTAAATGAATTTCCTTTTGTCAAAAGTCCTCTGCTTTCATGTGACAAATGCACATGTTGTAAATATTGAGTGGGACGTGTCCCCTGCATCCCCCCGCCAAGATCTACACCTGTGCTGACCCCTCTACTCCAGATGTTAGACAGTTACAGGTGTGTGGAAGCTGCAGCCTCGGCACTCTTTTCTTCTCTACTTGTCTCACACTTGCACTCCTCCACCACCATCACTCGCTTCTCCCGGACCTCGGCTCCACAGCGCAGGGGCACAGTCACAGTGAGTGCTTTGGATGGGGCGCAGCGAGAACAGGGGGCCCGGTGGTGGAGGGCCCCTCTCCCGGTACCAAGCCCAGCAAACTCCCCTTCGGATGGGACAAACAGGGAGCTGCACTGGCCGAAACACAGCTTGTTGTGCACTGTCACTGTGTCACATCCATCTGCTGTCACGTGCTGGGAAAATGTCAGAGAGGGGCAAGATTAGGCAATATAATGTCAGAGTTAATTTACCTCTGAGGGTGTAAAAATCAGCACTATGTGTTTATGTAACTTCACACTATCACAGTTAATCCTCCACCAGAGCCATAATCAGCTTTATGAGTGAACAAACATCTCTGTTATTGCCACTGAAAAATAAACACTTCATAACATTGCCATCTTCGGTATGACTGTGTAAAGAATTGCTCATTTCCATGCTCTTGTCCGTGTGTTGCACAGAAATCAAGTTGGCAGAGGAAGGAAATAAAAACCTGGCATCACACATGATTAAAAACTTTGCCTCTTACCTGAGTGAAAGGTACAGCAGTGCACGTCTGTTTAGTGTCTTTCAGGTTGACCGGCAGGGAAATGCTCATCTTCTCTCCTTTATTCATGGCTCTCTGCCACATCTGCAGGCCTTGCTTCTTCTTTAGTTCCCTCTCAGTGGGGCTTTTAGGGCGCAGGTGGTGCAATGGACTCACTGGGGTTTTGGGGGCCGGACCTGGATGCCCATGAGACAAGAATGCAGGGAAGGACACTCTGGAGCTGAGAGAGGGGGCTCTTCTGGGGTTCAGTGCCCCTCTGAAGAACTCTGACCGGGCCAGGGCGTGAGGGTCCAGCTGCACAACCTTAACAATTCCCCGGACAGGTTCGTCCAGCCCGCTGCCAGATGATTCAAATTCGGCTCTTGACCCTTTAATAATGTTGTCAAAAGTATTGTGAGGGAATGTAAAAGCTACAGCTGTCCAACTCGACAAAAAGACAAGGCTGATAGGGAAAGCCATTCTCTGACACAAAAAGGGACAATTCTCAAAATACAAAATATGCAATTTGCATCAAAAAACTGCCTAAACAACTTAAAAGTTAGCTAAATTAAATAAATAAAAAAAAATTTGTGTGGTGAAATGGTCCAAGGTTCCAAATGGTAACCTTGCTGTCAATGCTTTTGTCAGGGTGATGGAGGGAGGCTTTTATATAGGTGGCTGCCAATTCTCACCTGCGTTTTAACGCAAAGAAGGTGTCACAATTCCCACACCAAACCAGACATCGCACCAAGCTTAAAACTCCAGGTCGTGGATGGTTGCCAGACTGAGAGGATTTCACTTTCAAGGTGAGCGTTAAAAAAACATGGCCATAAAAAAATACATCTGAGGAGGGAGTTTGATTTTTGAGGTTCAAAATAACCTGATCCCATGAATTATTTTCACTATGACTAAGTTATTTAAATCAATTTTATTTATTTATACGTCTTTTAAATCCAGGCATTCCTACACCACAGGGGGCGTGAATGCAATTTTTCCAAAAGATAGTTACTCAGTTGATGTTTTGATGATGGTGGTGGAGATCGCTGCCTTACATATCACTCAAAAATCTCCCATTAGTTACATTATCAGTGGTTGAGATCCTGTGACTGAGAAGCCAATTATATTCAATTATATTATTTTAAATGCAAAACCAAGCAGCAGATTTGTTTAGCACTGTGCATAGTAATTACAGATTATTTGAAATCATTAATATACTCACAACATTCACTGGGGGAATTTTATAGATACTGAACTTGCAGATGAATGGCTTCTTTTCAACCACTGATAAAAAAAACAAAACAAACAAACCTGATGGAGGAGATACATTTTTCACTAAACTGAAACTATTTTGCATCCTAGCCCATACTGTAGACTGTCATAGTTAAAGACTATGTCTGGTACACAGTAAAACCCCTTCTTCTTCTTCGGCAGGTGTTCCTGTTACCTTTGGCTGTAAAGCAATAATGAGTTTATATTCTCTGTGTAAACAGGCTGTCTCCTGTTTATCTATTCCCGCAAGCTCCTTCTCAGCCTCACCTTAGACGTTACATCATTACATCATAAGACTTCAGTGTGCTCTGTCACCCATGACCTGATCACACAGTAGCTGCTGAGGGCCGTCTGTCTGACTGACAGTGTCCTGATAAAAAGGGTGTTTGACTTTCTCATAAAACCCTTAGTGTTACGAGGCCCTCTTTTCCTTATTGCCTCTTCCCATCCACTTAACATTATAGTCTTCAGTATACAGTAGATGCAAAAATGGTGATGGGTAAATGACTCAGTCTTTAATGTGGAGACTTTCTCACCTACACCGGCCTGGGACACGCACACGCTGATAGATGAAGTCTATAGTTCTGACTCGATTGATCATACTGCAGTAGTAGTAGTAGTAATGTCGAATGTGTGTGTTCAGTATTAAAAATCACTTTGACTAGCTGCACAAATTTTCCACAAGAGGGCAGAGTTTACAAAGTATTATCTCCACTGCCAATCCCACTGCTCTCACTAGCCTGCTGTCAGTGAATTATGGATGACATTTAAAACAAAAACATACAAAAATGTTACCACCTTGTCTCTCACCGACACTTAAAGGATATGTTTCCTGTTTTTCAACAACACACTGCATTATGTTGATTCTTTTTCACTGTTAATGTGCAAAGCCTCAGTGAATAAAACTAATGACTCCCTTACAGCTGCCTAACACTGTTCTGTGTGGCAGGTGCTGAGGCCAACAAAATTATGATGAATCCTATTTCCAGAAAGGGGAAGTTAAGAGTTGACTTGTGCAGTTGTGTCTTTTGGGGAAAAGGAAAAAAAAAAAGAAAAACTTCTTTCTCTCAGGATTATTGACTTTATTTTGCACAACTTCCTCCTTCCTGCTGATATAGCCAAGAAAAATATAGTCAATAAAACCAGATAACAGCATGCATGGTGTAATGCATACAGTATGAGTACAAAACTGCTCAGGAAACCGCTGAGCTTGAACTGCAGCTTTTTTTATGGGGACTAATTTGATTTTGAACAAAAATGACATATCTTTGTTTATTTTATTTTTCATTCAGTCTGTGGATAGAATAAAATAAAGTTAAACAGATGGATGTACAGTATACAACGACAGCACGGATGATGTCTCGGGTTACACTTGATGCTGAAAAGGTCCCAGTTGTACAGAGCATGTGTGAGTGATTCTTATAATAAGGGCTTTATGTTTGGAATTTTACTCCCACCAGAATCTATGAACATCCATCATGATGTTTCACTGTTTCCACATCACTGTAGGAGGTCACTGAGTCCTGACTGAATGCATGACTCACTAAGCAAGGCTCAAGAAATATTAAAGAGCTGGCAGAATCTGAAGTGAGACAAATATAATGTATGTAACAACAGTGACAGGACATGTGGCAGGTACAGCATGAAACAAAGTGTCGTTTACAGCACTTTGCTTTTTTCTTCTTTTTTGTTTTACAAATAGTGTGAACAATGATAAATACATAAAACATTTGGTGCTGGGGAGAGTTTCATTATACTGTATGTAATCATATTGGTGAACAAATAATAGATGCAGTTTAAGAACAAGTGTAACTTTGTATTCTATTAGATACCATGGAAGCACTTTGAGGGGCAGCATATTTCTGAATGGTAATAAATTATTCAGAATGTACTCATATAAAGTGCCACAAGTCTGACTCACATTTTATGTTGACTTCACTTAATATACTCTGGGCTTCAAGTTCAAACAAACAGACATTAACACAGCTTAGCTCAGACAGCAACGATGTGAGGCGTAGTCACATGTTGCATTTAACTGCGGTTCCAACTGTTTTATGATGACAGTAAGAGACATGTTTTCAGATCATGACACCACTGAGGAGGGTCATCAGGTAACTGTTTCACAGCATGTGACGGGAGAACCTGCTGCTTCAGCAGTCAGCCACACATTAAACTTCACTAACCAGACTCCACTAAAACTCCACACGCACACACACACACACACAAACACACACACACACACACACACACACACACCTGCAATGCATGCTACAATAAGGAACTCTGAGCCAACTTTTGATTATTATATTTTTTTGTTGTTTCAGTTTAAGTCCAGTTCCCTTATTTGTGTTGTGGTGTGTCATATAGTTCATTTGTTTGTATTCATGTTACTCACTTGTATGAAAAAATAATTGATATATATATATATATATACAGTACAGGCCAAAAGTTTGGACACACCTTCTCATTCAATGCGTTTTCTTTATTTTCATGACTATTTACATTGTAGATTCTCACTGAAGGCATCAAAACTATGAATGAACACATGTGGAGTTATGTACTTAACAAAAAAAGGTGAAATAACTGAAAACATGTTTTATATTCTAGTTTCTTCAAAATAGCCACCCCTTTGCTCTGATTACTGCTTTGCACACTCTTGGCATTCTCTCAATGAGCTTCAAGAGGTAGTCACCTGAAATGGTTTCCACTTCACAGGTGTGCCTTATCAGGGTTAATTAGTGGAATTTCTTGCTTTATCAATGGGGTTGGGACCATCAGTTGTGTTGTGCAGAAGTCAGGTTAATACACAGCCGACAGCCCTATTGGACAACTGTTAAAATTCATATTATGGCAAGAACCAATCAGCTAACTAAAGAAAAACGAGTGGTCATCATTACTTTAAGAAATGAAGGTCAGTCAGTCCGGAAAATTGCAAAAACTTTAAATGTGTCCCCAAGTGGAGTCGCAAAAACCATCAAGCGCTACAACGAAACTGGCACACATGAGGACCGACCCAGGAAAGGAAGACCAAGAGTCACCTCTGCTTCTGGGGATAAGTTCATCCGAGTCACCAGCCTCAGAAATCGCAAGTTAACAGCAGCTCAGATCAGAGACCAGATGAATGCCACACAGAGTTCTAGCAGCAGACCCATCTCTAGAACAACTGTTAAGAGGAGACTGCGCCAATCAGGCCTTCATGGTCAAATAGCTGCTAGGAAACCACTGCTAAGGAGAGGCAACAAGCAGAAGAGATTTGTTTGGGCCAAGAAACACAAGGAATGGACATTAGACCAGTGGAAATCTGTGCTTTGGTCTGATGAGTCCAAATTTGAGATCTTTGGTTCCAACCGCCGTGTCTTTGTGAGACGCAGAAAAGGTGAACGGATGGATTCCACATGCCTGGTTCCCACTGTGAAGCATGGAGGAGGAGGTGTGATGGTGTGGGGGTGTTTTGCTGGTGACACTGTTGGGGATTTATTCAAAATTGAAGGCACACTGAACCAGCATGGCTACCACAGCATCCTGCAGCGACATGCCATCCCATCCGGTTTGCATTTAGTTGGACGATCATTTATTTTTCAACAGGACAATGACCCCAAACACACCTCCAGGCTGTGTAAGGGCTATTTGACCAAGAAGGAGAGTGATGGAGTGCTGCGGCAGATGACCTGGCCTCCACAGTCACCGGACCTGAACCCAATCCAGATGGTTTGGGGTGAGCTGGACCGCAGAGTGAAGGCAAAGGGGCCAACAAGTGCTAAACACCTCTGGGAACTCCTTCAAGACTGTTGGAAAACCATTTCAGGTGACTACCTCTTGAAGCTCATGGAGAGAATGCCAAGAGTGTGCAAAGCAGTAATCAGAGCAAAGGGTGGCTATTTTGAAGAAACTAGAATATAAAACATGTTTTCAGTTATTTCACCTTTTTTTGTTAAGTACATAACTCCACATGTGTTCATTCATAGTTTTGATGCCTTCAGTGAGAATCTACAATGTAAATAGTCATGAAAATAAAGAAAACGCATTGAATGAGAAGGTGTGTCCAAACTTTTGGCCTGTACTGTATATATATATATATATATATATATATATATATATATATATTTTAAAAAGGATCTCCAGGAAGAGGTGGAGGCTAGAGGGTGCTGGTAGAGGCCATTGGCAGAGGCTGTGGATAGAGATTCAAGCTGCAGCTGACTGCCTGAATCTCCAGGTGAAGGCAAAGGCCATAGATGGAGGTTCACGCTGAACCTATCTGCGAAAATCTGC